GGGACCTAAGGAGCAACTTTTTCACACAGAGGGTGGTGCGTGTATGGAATGAGCTGCCAGAGGAAGCGGTGGAGGCAGTGGGAAGTGTAGACGGGGGTCAGTGGATGGTTTGTGTGATGGACTGGCCTGGGTACACGACTCTTTGTAGCTTCGTGTGGTCTTGGGCAGAGCAGTTACCAAATCCTGAAGCGAGTAACTCCCATCCTGACTCCCACCGACGCCACCCCCCCACAACCCCCTGTCAAAGCCTGTCCCACCATCGACAAGGCACAAGTCAGGAGTCTGATGGAATACCCCCCACTTGCCCCGGGTGACAGGAAATATTTGCTGATCGCGGCCTCGGGAGGCTGTTACATAGGGCCCAGAAGGAAACCTACACTCCGCCATCAGACGGCTGGAGGTAGAAGGGGGAGGAAGGGAGATAGCGGCTGGATTCAGAGACCGAAGGACGACAGACTGCGCGTTTGCATAGCGCCTCGCGGAAGCTGAGACCTGGGCGGAGGTGGAGGGGTGGGGGGGCAGAGTCACCTCGTCGGTTGTCGCCGAGGGATACAGAGGGAGGGAGAGTGAGATGCCCAGGAGCTCGAACTCCTCCATTGGACGCTGACCGCCCCCAACTTGCTGGATCGCGGGGTCAACGTCACACACGGGAGCGGAACGGAGAGGGCAAAGTCTACGGAGAGGGGAAGACGAACCTTTGGCGCTGGCTCAGTTTCGGTGACACCAATTTGGTCAACAATCGATCCATTCTGCCCATCCAAGATGGCGCCGGGACATGGCGACATTCCCCACGTTTCTCCCATGATTAGGCCCATGCGACAATATATCGAATAAATAACCAAAACCCACCGAGGACAAGAAGGCCGATAATTCAATGCCTTCTCAACGGATATTAACTTAGATTGGTCCAATTATTAGGTTCGAGCGAGCTGGCTGGAATCTTGCAAAGAATTTCTCAGAGTCTTTCAAGCTGGTCTTTGATTACGAGCGAGTGAATAAAATACATGATGAGACTATCTTACCTGCTGGGTTAATTTTTCTCTGAAGAAATTTGTCCCCCCCCTGGTGCCCGCTGTTTGTTTTTTTAATAAGTCTGACAGACAAAGGGAAAGTTACGATGGATGGACAAAGATTTGGCGCCTCCCCACAATCCCTTGGCCGTGTTTGCAAGGCTTTGCTTGAAGGGGCTAGGCTGCTGACCGTGCAATGCATTTTGACGTCTCATCTTCGGCCAGGCAAGTTTGGAAATGGCCGCCTGCCTCCTGGTTAACCGTCCAGCCCCACGAGAGCATCGAACCATTGAGTGCACGGTGCGCAGCATTTTACATTCGCACGCTGGCGCTGCTGCATTGTCGCTCGGCGAAGGGCATGGACGCCCACCTCCCCGATTTGTTTCCCCATCTGCGGCATTCTCAATCGGCAAACTGCGTACAACACCGCCTTCCGCTAAAATACGCAAAACTGCCTTGGACTAGCACCTCCATGATGTCACTCAACCTCGCCCCCACCTCCCCTCAACTCATTGGCAGCTAAATCTTCCACTCAAGTCGTTGCCTACCTCAAGAATGGATCATTCCAAGGTTCGTCTCACTCCTCCACACCCCCCCCCCCCCACCCCCGCCAAAACCCCATTTCCTGCAACTTCAGGATACCCACGCCCAGTTCCCTATCAGACAAATGCCCTTCAGCCCATCGAGTCTGTGCCAACCACCTCGCCATTCCAATCCCCGTTTCCCAGCCCTTGGCCCATTTACATCCTTCTTCAATGGGATGGGGGTTTCTGCCTCTCCCACCCTTACAGGCAGTGAGTTCCAGATTCCCCACCAGCCTCTGGTTGAAAACATTTTTCCTCATGTCCCCCTCTAAACCTCCTGCCCCTTCCCTTAAATCTGTTTCCCCCCCTCTCCCCAGGTATTAATCCCCACACAGAGGGGAAAAGTTCCTTCCTGTCTACCCTATCAATACCCCTCATCGTTTTCTCCATCTCAGTCATGTCCCCCTCCTCTCAATCTCCTCTGCTCTAAGGAAAACAACCTTCCAGTCTGTCCCAATCTGTCTTCAAGAACTGAAACTCTCCAGCCCCCACAAGGCAACATCCTGGTAAATCTCCCTCTGGGCCCTCTCCCAGTGCTATCACATCCCTCCTATAATGTGGATTCAAACCGTTGGAGATCGGGATCCCTTAAAGGCAGAGTTTTCCAAGGATTTACTGCGCTTCATGGGATTTTACTGAACAGCTATTACCAAAGGATTTAAATTTCCAAATTTCTGGGATGGGGAAGGCAAGAGGGAAGATTAATGAAGAACGCAAGAGGTCGCAATGCCCATTGAGTTAATGTATCTGGTGCCAAACTCACTGTATTATCAGCACGCGTGTTTCAAAAATAATAAAGATTTGTTCTTAGAAAGAGTGGCTGATAACCCGCGGGTGAGGGTGAGCATGATGGGCTCAATGCCAGGGTAGTCGGTTCATTCGAAATGATCTAATTAGTTGTCTATGTGGGCTTCAGCGAGGTGTTTGACAAGGTTCCTCATGGTAGACTGGTTAGCAAGGTTAGATCACGTGGAATAGAGGGAGAACTAGCCATTTGGATACAGAACAGGCTCAAAGATAGGAGACAGAGGGTGGTGGTGGTGGTGGAGGGTTGTGTTTCAGACTGGAGGCCTGTGACCAGCGGTGTGCCACAGGGATCAGTGCTGGCTCCACTGTTTTTCGTCAATTATAGCAATGATTTGGATGTGAACATAGGAGGTATGGTTGGTAAGTTTGCAGATGACACTAAAATTGGAGGTTGTAGTGGGCAGTGAAGAAGGTTACCTCAGAGTACAACGGGACCTCGATCAGATGTGCCAATGGGCCGAGGAACGGCAGATGGAGTTTAATTTAGATAAATGTGAGGGGCTGCATTTTGGGAAAGGCACATCAGGGCAGGACTTATACACTTAATGGTAAGGTCCTGGGGAGAGTTGCTGAACAAAGAGACCTTGAGGTCCAGGTTCATAGTTCCTTGAAAGTGGAGTTGCAGGTAGACAGGGCGGTGAAGAAGGTGTTTGGTACGCTTGCCTTTATTGGTCAGTGCATTGAGTATAGGAGTTGGGAGGGTCATGTTGCAGCTGTACAGGACATTGGTTAGGGCCACTTTTGGAATACTGTGTTCAATTCTGGTCGCTGTTTAAAAATGAAGGCCTGAGTGTTTAAAACAGGAGTGAGGAAATGTTTATTTCTCTCAGACAGTCGCAAATCTTTAGGATTCCCCTTTCCCCATAGGCCATGGATGTGGGAATCTTGAATTGTTTTTCAAGGCAGAGATAGATAGATCAAGTGCCAAATGACAGCGCGTTCTCAACATTCTCCTAAACTCCAGAGAGTTAGAGTCCCGATCTGTTTAGCCTTTTCCCATAAGACAATCCCTCCATCCCCGGGGATCATCCCAGTGAACCTTCTCCGAACTGCCTCCAATGAAATGATATTTTTCCTTAAATATGGGGGGGGGGAACCAAACCTGCTCACAGTTCTCCAGATGTGGTTCCCCTCCCATCCCCATCCCTCCCAGTATCTTGTCCAGTTGCAGTAAGAATTCCCTACTGTTATACTCCAACCCCCTTGGAATAAGGGCCAACATTCCATTGGCCGTTCCTGATTCCCTGCTGTCCCTGTGTGCAAGCTTCTGTGTTTCGTGTACAAGTGCCTCCCGTCACATCCCCTTTGTGTTACAGCTTTCTGCAGTCTTTCTCCATTGAAATTATACTCTGTACTTTCACTCTCCCTTCCACAGTGAGGTGAACTGAGAAATACCAATGTTTGGAGGTCGAAAAGCTCACGACAATTTCAAGTCACCTTCAGCAACCCTTGAGCTGCTTAAGATAATGCGTTAAGCAAAAATGCTTTATCCTGAAGATGCGCGACTCCCTTTCCCGTCCCCTTTCGTAACAACAGCTCCCTTTTCCAAATAAAATTCATCGCACATGAGGTTGAATGGTGCTCCTTGAATGTACGCCACTGAAAATATTATCCCTCTTCACCTTGCCTTTAAAAACAATTAGAGGGTCAACAAAACATTAATAAAATTATAGTCTCCAAAGGCACACTGCCAGGCCAGAAGTGTCTGCTTTGTGGTATGCACTGGGATGGTGCGTACTTATTGGGAGGGGGTGGGTGGGTGGGGGGTGCTGTGTTCGCTCAGTTTCCTGGATCCTAAATAAAAACCGAAAGAACCGCGGACGCTGTAAAATCAGGAACGAAAACAGAAGTTGATGGAAAAGCTCAGCGGGTCTGGCAGCATCTGTGAAGAAGAATCAGAGTTAACATTTCGGGGTCCGGTAACCCTCCCTCAGATCCTAACGCTAACTGGGTGATTTCGATTCCTCAAGTTAGCATGAAGGACTCTCCTCGACGTCTTCCCCCCAACCCCCAACACCGCCTTCCAATGGTGCGGCCTCCTCCTACCTGAGTGACAGACTAGGTTTGTTTGCACTCAGGTGAGATTTGAACCTACAAATCCCGCACAAGGCTAGCACAGCATATTTTTTTACACCCAGGTAACTTCACACCTTCAGACAGCGCCAGGAATGGTGACATTGTCCACTTTACACTGCTCCTGTGACAACAAGATCTGATTGGATCCATCCTTCTCGGGGAGAAGGCTGCTATGCAAATGCAGGACAGTGCGCTGCGTTGGGCATGTTTGGTATCTGGCCCTTGCAGTCTGCCAATTGAAGTCCTGGCAGACGGTGAACCTATCTGAGATTGGGTTGGGGAGAGGGAGGCCACGGTGATCAAAATGTTTGCGTACATTTGCGAGAAAAAAAAACAAGAACATATATAATTTTTTTTAAACAGGAATGCAAGAAACAAGAGATACAAAACATTTCACTTTATTCGTCAGGACCAACTTTACAAAAAAAGGGCGTTAAGCAAAACGCTTTATTGGAAGACATCGCCGGTTTTGCACATGGTAATACTAATGCGGTTCAAATTCTACAAACAATTTTCACTCAATTGCAAACAAAAAAACAGACCTTCTCTCTTTAAAGGTATCGTCAACCTCTCCACTTGATTCTGCCTCAATGTAGCGTCCTTAATATTGTCTTCCTTTACCCTGAGTTGCACATAGATTGCAAAGATAAGAATGAGGGACACACACTGACTATTGAGAGAACTAATGTCTCCTGCGAAGATTTATTCCCGCTGGAAATCAACGGACAGTTCTGCCTGCCAATGTTAACCCCGGCCTTTTTCTAGCTTCTCCCTGGGGAGTATTTTCAATGTTTCCCTGTTCCGAGTTTTTCGTCCTGGTTTTCCATTCGCATTGAAGGGGGCCTGCTCTTGCCAGGAAGGCAAAACCTGCCCTCTTGTGGTCATATACTGTGTCGCAACTATTCCAGACCTTGGGTTTGAATTTCTGCAAGTGCTGAGATTTTAAATCACGCACTCCCCAAATCCTTCCCTCCAGCGCACAGGTTAAACCACCTCGAAGGAGATTACCTTTCATTTGTCCCTGTAGCTTCCCCCCCAACACACCCCCCTCCCCGATGCAAAGAGTCCAAAATTATAGGCAAAAGGGCAGAAACGCTGGAGGAGACTCAGCATCTGTGAAGAGAGAGTTAGTGGTTGGTGCTTGGAGTCCAGCGACCCCTTCGTTTTTCATCACATGCTCAGCATCTGCTGGCCGTTACTCATTTCTGGGCTTTCGTCTTTGCACAGGCATTAAAAAGGGGGCAGGAGGAGGCCATTCAGCCAGCAGAGGCTGCTTCGTTGTTCTACACCATCACGGCTGTTCCCATCCTGTCCGTTCCCTTCCACCCACGACTGATTAAAAATCTACCGCCTCCTTTACATTTACTCAGTATCCCACCACCCACTGCATTCTGCGGGGGGGGAATGGATTCCACAGATTCACGACCCTTTTGAGAGAAGTAATCCCCTCCTCGTCTCTGTTTGAAATCTCCCTGATCCCTTATCCCAAAACGATCTCGATCCAGTTTGCCCCACATGAGGGAGCATCCCATCCACATCTACTGCCAATCCCCTTTAGCATCTTCTCATTAGATTTCCTTTCGTTCTTCTGAGCTCCCAGAGAGTACGGGCCTAATCCTGCTCAATCTCTCTGCATAAGACAAACCCCCTCGTCTCTGGAATCATTCGAGTGAACCTCCTCTGAAATGCCTCCAATGTAACTACAACTCCCCTCGAGTAAGGGGACCGAAACTCTACCCAGCGCTCCCGGTGCAGTCTCGCTAATGCCTCGTCCAGTTGGAGGAACCCTTCCCTACATTTATACTCCATTCCTTTAGCAACAAATGGCAAAATTCCATTTGCCGTCCTCACTACCTGAAAATTAGTTTTCCGAGATTTGTACGCCCAGATCCCTCTGCATTCTCTCCATTTCGGACACAAATTGCCTTTCTCATCGGACGACCAAAATGGATAATCTTACACTTTCGTTTAAAACGGTGCACGTAAAAACCACAAATTTTTTTTTTTTTACAAGCAACGTAACCGATTATTCGCAAGAGGTCTTTTTTGTTAAAAAAAATCTCCGACTGAATCAAAGAATAAATAAGCTGGATCGTGGGGTTGCAATTTGATATGACGAGATCATTGCATTTTTTTTTAAGAAAAGACTGAAGCAACATCTTCTGTTTTCTCAAGGTGGGTGGGGGTGGGTGGAGTTGCGCACAGAATTCCAGGAATTCCTGCCCGAGCTGGACAAGTAAATTTCCCAACTGTGCGGGAACCAGGAGAGTTTCACTGTGTGTGTCCATTGCTCGCGTTCCCATTGAATAAAAATACAGGAGGTCCAAAACTGGAGTGATATACCTGTGGGTGCAGGCTAGTCACTGAGGAAACATTTGATCAGCGTCGAAACGATCAGATTCAACATTTTTCTTCACTTCAGATTTATGCCGAGATATAACGGGGAGCGATCGGAAGCTGGAGGATCCGGTTTGCAACCGAAGCGCTCGGAACAGATCGAGAGTTGATAACCTGCCAGCCAAAACATCTAGTGCCTGGATCCTGCAGTCCATCCCAGGAAACTGCATGTCAGAGCCCCAGCAGATTCTACAGCAGTGATAAGCATCTGTAAATCAGGCATGGAGCGGGAGACCCCATACTTAGAAGAAGCAGGAAGTGCTTGTGGAGTTTTGGTTTCGCTGTTCCTACAGATTTGATGCTCGCTTGGGTACAGTGCAACAACTTGCATTCAAACGGTGCCTTCGACAGAAGGGAAATGCTGCCCACGCTCCTTCACATCAGCAAATTCCCGGACAGCAGAGAGCTGGGCCCCAAGAGGTAGAAGGGAGGGGAAAGGAGGGAGGGAGAGAGGGGCCGAGTGGCATCGGGACAGAATTCCAGAGCTCGGGTTGGGGGGGGCGGGGAGGAGGTGGTGGGTGTTGTGGGTGTGGGAAGGAGGGAGGGATGGAAGAGTTAGAGGGGACATAGGAGTTGAGGAGGTTACAGAGGTTGGGACAGGGTCCCAGAGAAGTGAGGTCAGAGGTCGGCAGAGAAATGGGACTGGGTTGGCATGACAGGGACATGGGCCTCGAACGGTCAGGAGTTGATCGGGGTCCAGAAGCGAATGAGAGAGGAACATCTAGCATCACTCTGAGGGTGGGGAGCGATAACATCCTCATCCGTTCCATTCCACCTGCAACAGGGTCCGGTTTCCTCTCTTCATTCGCTGACACCTTCCAAAGCGCCCAGACCCTTTGCTTTCATAACCTCCCAACCAAATGTTGCTCCTGATTCTCTCGGGCCACCCTGAGATTGGAGAAAAAGGGGTCAATGCCTCAGAAGAAGGGGGGGCAATAGGAACACACACAGACCGAGTTGCATAAGATTTGGGGGGAGCGTCTAATTCCGAATACACCACTTGCCCACTTTCTTTGCCCACGACTCTCCACGGGCCCTCACAACGACTGGACATATCCGGCCCCTGGGAAAATCTCGACGTGGAGCCTCTGGAATCATTTCAAAATGTTTCGTTTGCCTTGCCGAAGGGAGCAAGCAACGCCGTCACTCTTCCGTGAGGAAAAAAAGGGAATTTATTTTGACAAACAACGCTGCGTTGTTTTTCTTTTGTCAGTGGAGCTTTCTGCGCTGTGGTCTCAGGGAATTAGGGAACACGCCGACTCCTGCTTGGCATTTGTTTCTTTGGTTTGAGCAGACACCGGCCCATCCTTCGCTGTGCCCCTCGCCCGCGATGCCATCTCGCCCCCGCTTCCTGCGGGACGCCCCGAGACAGGGTTAGCGGCCAGCTTCTGCAACTGAGAAACCGGCTCTTTCGCCGCTGGATCGAGAAGCGATAGCATTCACCTGCCCCCCACCCCGCTAAACATCTACCGCCTGGATCCTTCAGTGCGTCCTGGGGATAGTGCATTTCGGAGCACCAGCCGTGGAAAGCATGTCCAGGCGCGATTGGACTCGGAGTCCACATACTTCAGAAGAAACGAAAAGCAGAAAGTGCTTCAAAAGACGTCATAATTTATACATATGGCTTTCTTAAAAAAAAAACCCAGACAACTTCAAGTCCGAAGGTACAAAAATAAAGAGCTCGCCTGCCATATTGCTCACTGAAATTTCGCCACAAACGTTTCGCACGCTTTCTCTCCCTCAGGCGCAGCAGTTAGAGGCAAAATTTCCGCAGCCCCCCACCCCCCCCACATCCAACAACTTAAGTTATTTCCTTCATCAACAGAAGGACCTTCAAATATTTGCGTTTTCATAGTAACTTCCTGGGCCGGCTCGGGATAATCTTGCGGTAGGTCCTTCGCTCGGAGACGTTCCTCTTCACTTTTACCACGGGCGCCTGCTCCAGGTTGAGGGAAGGGCTGGAATGCGATTTCTTCAGCGAGGTGTTCTTCCCTTCCATGCAGTTGAGCAAGTGAACCTCCAGCTTGTCCAGGTCATCAGTCCCCTCGTTCAGCTTCACCTTCAGTAGGTTCACATACGTCTCGATCCGGCACTTCTGCTCGGAGCAAAAACACCGGTCACATGGTGGGAGTGTGGTCTGGCTGACATGGACACACACTCACACACACACACTCTCACACACACAGACACACACAAGCTAAGAGCAGGAGAAGACACGGCACACATCAGGGCAGGACTTTTACACTTAACGGTGAGGTCCTGGGGTGTGTTGCTGAACAGAGAGACCTTGAGGTTCATAGTTCCTTGAAAGTGGAGTTGCAGGTAGACAGGGCGGTGAAGAAGGCGTTTGGTACGCTTGCCTTTATTGGTCAGTGCATTGAGTATAGGAGTTGGGAGGGTCATGTTGCGGCTGTACAGGACATTGGTTAGGGCCCCTTTTGGAATATTGAGTGCAGTTCTGGTCTCCCTGCTACAGGAAGGATATTGCGAAACTTGAAAGGGTTCAGAAAAGATTTACAGGGATGTTGTCACAGTTTGAGCTATAGGGAGAGGCTGAATAACCTGGGGCTATTTTCCCTGGAGCATCGGAGGCTGAGGGGGGACCTTATAGAGGTTTATAAAATCATGAGAGGCATGGATAGGATGAATAGCCAAGGTTTTTTTATCCCCAGAGTAGGGGAGTCCAAAACTAGAGGGGCATAGGTTTAAGGTGAGAGGGGGAAGATTTAAAAGGGACCCGAGGGGCAACTTTTTCACGCAGTGGGCGGTGCGTGTATGGAAGAAGATGCTAGAGGAAGTGGTAGAGGCCGGTACAATGACATTTAAAAGACAGGTACATGAATAGGAAGGATTTAAAGGGATACGGGCCAAATGCTGGCAAATGGGACCAGTTTAGTTTGGGAAACCTGGACAAGTAGGGCCGAAGGGGCCTGTTTCCATGCTGTATGACTCTACAACTAAATTAAGGTGTCCGTTAACTGGTTAGGAATTGTGCGATCTTAAAATAATGCATGTCTGCTCTCAGTCCATACAGTCCCCTAATTCCTGCTGTGCCAGACGTTCCCCCCGCTCACCACCCAAGGCCCCTTTTGGGATCCACTTTCCAAGGCGTAAGGCTGGTCAACTAGTCTCACGCGCTCTGCATTCTCTAACTCCCCAACCGAGCGTCGCCAGTACGTTTCACCTCTCTCTCCGTCACGCCACGGGCTCTTCATTTGGAAATTACGCTCTTTAGGGACCCCTAGTTAAACCCCTTCCCCCTTTCCCCCCAATCCCCACTCCTTGGACCATTCTCCATCCTCTGCGTGGGACCCATAACGCCATCAGAAAGCAGGAGCAGACCATTCTGCCCCTCGAGCCTGCTCTGCCATTCAACAGGCCGATCCCACGTCTGCTTCCCTGCTCCCCCCACACCCCCCACTTTGCCCTGCGATTCCCAGACTGACGGAGAATCTGTCGAGACATTGGTATGATGTTCCTGAACATCAGGAATGGCGGAAAATTGGCAGATGGAGAACATTTTGGTGACGCCTTTGTTTCTTTGCAAATTACACATTCTCTTTGCCTGCACAATCCGACCCTCATTCGTAACGCGTGTCCAGGGATAGAGATGTCGGCGTGTATTCCAAGAAATCCCAGAGGGGCAGCACACTGGGAGTTTGAAGAGATGGTGATTATGATCAATCTTGCCTTTAGGACTATGAGATTGAATGCAGCTTATTCAATCTCGGTTCAGCTGCAGGTAAGGTTACAAAAGGTAAGAGTCCATGGGATTGGAGGAAATTTGGGCACTGGTCAAGGTGTGGATTCTCCAACTGGAGGTCTGCGCCCCAGCGGGATTCCGCAGGGATCGGTGTTGGTTCCGTCGCTGTTTGCACTTCACGTGAACTATTCCAACTCGAAGGGTGATCAGAAAGTTGGCAAGCGATAGCAACATTTGGGTGGGGGGGGGGGCGTGGTGGTGGGAAACAGTGAGGAGGCGAGCCTGAGATCACAGGAGGATATAGAGTCACACAGCACGGAAACAGCCCCTTCGGCCCAACCAGTCCGTGCCGACGATTATCCCAAACTAAACTAGTCCCACCGGCCTGCTCCTGGCCCATATCCCTCCAAACCTTTCCTATTCATGTACTTATCCAAATGTCTTTTAAACGTTGTAACTGTACCCACATCCACCACTTCCTCTGGAAGCTCATTCCACACATGAACCACTCTCTGTGTAAAAAAGTTGCCCCATGTCTTTTCTAAATCTCTCTCCTTTCATCTTAAAAATGTGACCCTAGTCTTGAAATCCCCCTTCCTAGGAAAGAGACACCTGCCCTTCACCTCATCTTTAGCCCTCAGTATTTTATAAACCTCTATAAGGCCACCCCTCAGCCTCCTACACACCAGGAAAAAAGGTCCCAGCCTCTCCTTATAACTCAAACCCTCCATTCCCAGCAACATCCTGGTAAATCTCTTCTGAACCCTCTCCAGCTGAATAACATCCTTCCTATAACACGGCGACCAGAACTGGACACAGTGCTCCAGAAGGGGCCTCACCAACGTCCTGTACAATCTCAACATGACGTCCCCAACTCCTATACTCAAAGGTCTGAGCAATGAAGGCAAGCGTGCTAAACATCTTCCTAACCATCCTGTCTACATGTGACGCAAATTTCAAACAATTATGGACCTGAATCCCTAGGTCTCTCTGTTCTACAGCACTGCCCAAGGCCCTACCATTAATTGTATAAGTCCTGTCCTTGTTTGATTTTAACAAAATAGAACACCTCACATTTATCCAAATTAAACTCCATCTGCCACTCCTCAGCCCCATTGAAAGGCTGGTCAATGGAAAATTGAATTCAATCCAGATAAGTGTGACTGAAGAAATGGTTAATAAATACATTTCATATTTATTTTGGGAATATGTGACGACCAGTAGGACCCTGGGAAACAGAGAGGACCAGAAGAATGTGCATGTATACCGGTCCTTTTAGTTAGTCAAGTGGATAAAGTGGTGAAGGACTATGGGATACTTGCCCCCCATTGGCTGAGATGTAGGGTTTAAGAGACACTGGAAATAGATAAAAGGTTAGCTTAGGCTGTAGCAACTCAAATCCGAAGGCCTCACCTCATACTCGAAGTACTCCTGCTTCAGTTTGTACTCTTCAAAATCCTTGGTCTTCCATTTCTTGTCTGGAAAGGTCATCTGATGGTCGTCGAGGTCGTCCATTATCGACTGCAGCATGGAATCATGGGACTCCAGCTGCTCCTCCTACGACAAAACACACAACAGTTTCAAACGTCAGCGTTTGGGCCCGTTTTCTCGCTGGGTCCCGGCCTAGCAGCATCGCCGGGGAGACGGTTTCCGAAGGGGAGACGCCTACCAGTAAGTCTGTCAATCCAGCGACCCGGGTGGGGACCTGGATTCGAATCCCATCCACGGAAGATGGTGGATTCTGAATCAAATTAAATCTGGACTTGAGCGTCTAATGACGACTATGAGATGGGGTAGGTGGGTTTGACCCTTCAGCCCATCTGCTCAGCCGTTTAAGACCATAAGACGTCGGGGCCGAAATTAGGCCATTCGGCCCATTGAGTCTGCTCCGCCATTCAATCATGGCTGATAAGTTCCTCAACCCCATTCTCCTGCTTTCTCCCTGTAACCCTTGATCCCCTTCGCAATCAAGAACCTATCTATCTCAGTCTTAAATGTACTCAATGGCCTGGCCTCCACAGCCTTCTGTGGCAGTGAATTCCATAGATTCACCACTCTCTGACTGAAAAAGTTTCTTCTTATCTCCGTTCTAAAAGGTCTTCCCTTTACTCTAAGGCTGTGCCCTCAGGTCCTAGACTCTCCTAACAATGGAAGCATCTTCCCAACATCCTCTCTGTCCAGGCCATTCAGTATTCTGTAAGTTTCAATTAGATCCCCCCTCATCCTTCTAAACTCCAATGAGTATAGTCCCAGAGTCCTCGAACGTTCCTCATATGTTAAGTTTTCCATTCCTGGGACCATTCTTGTGAACCTCCCCTGAACCCGCTCCACGGCCAGTGCATCCTTCCTGAGATATGGGGCCCAAAACTGCACACAATACTCCAAAAGTGGCATGACCAGAGCCTTATAAAGCCTCAGTGGTACATCCCTGCTTTTATATTCAAGTCCTCTCAAAATAAATGCCAACATTGCATTTGCCTTCCTGACTACTGACTCAACCTGCAAGTTTATCTTGAGAGAATCCTGGACTAGAACTCCCAAATCTCTTTTCACTTCAGACTTCTGAATTTTCTCCCCATTTAGAAAATAGTCCATGCTTCTATTCTTCTCACCAAAGTGCATGACCTCACACTTTCCCACATTGTACTCCATCTGCCACCTCTTTGCCCACTTTCCTAGCCTGTCCAAATCCTTCTGCAGCCTCCCCACCTCAATACTACCTGTCCCTCCACCTATCTTTGTATCATCTGCAAACTTAGCCAGAATGCCCTCAGTTCCTTCATCTAGATCATTAATGTACAAAGTGAAAAGTTGTGGTCCCAGCACTGACCCTTTTGGAACACTACTTGTCCCCGGCTGCCATCCTGAGAAAGACCCTTTTATCCCCACTCTCTGTTTTCTGCCATACAGCCAATCTTCTATCCATGCTAGCACCTTACCTCTAACACTGTGGGCCCTTATCTTACTCAGCAGCCTCCTGTGTGGTGCCTTATCAAAGGCCTTCTGGAAGTCCAGGTAGATAACATCCATTGGCTCTCCTTGGTCTACCCTGCTCATTACTTCCTCAAAGAATTCCAGTAGATTTGTCAGGCATGAACTCCCCTTGATGAAACCATGCTGACTATGCCCTATTTTACTATATACTTCCAAATATTCAGAAATCTCATTCTTTACAATGGACTCCAAAATCTTACCCACAACTGAGGTTAGGCTAATTGGCGTGTAATTTTCTGTCTTTTGCCTTACTCCCTTTTTAAACAGGGGTGTCACGGCAGCGATTTTCCAGTCCTCTGGGACCCTCCCTGCCTCTAGCGATTCCTGAAAGATCACCACTAACACTTCCACTATCTCTTCAGTTATCTCCTTTAGAACTCCGGGGTGTAGTCCATCTGGTCCTGGTGATTTATCCACCTTCAGGCCAATCAGTTTTACGCGCACCTCTTCCTTGGTGATGGCCCCTGACTCTCTTGAATTTTTGGGATTTTACTCGTGTCTCCCACTGTGAAGACTGACACAAAGTAATTATTCAGTTCCTCAGCCATTTTCTTGTTCCCCACTACTATCTCTCCACCATCATTTTCCAGTGGTCCAATTTTTCCCTTTATATACCTAAAGAAACTCTTACAGTCCTCCTTTATATTACTGGCTAGCTTACCCTCATATTTAATATTCTCCCTCCTTATTTCTTTTTTTGTTGCCCTCTGCTGGTCTTTATAAGCTTCCCAATCCTCTGGTTTCCCACTGCCCTTAGCCACATTATATGCTTTCCCTTTTGCTTTTATGCTATCCCTGACTTCCTTAATCAGCCATGGTTGCCTCATCCTCCCTGAACCATGCTTCTTTTTCCTCGGGATGAAACCCTTCTCCCTGTCACCCTTGATTCCTTTAGTCATCAAGAACCTATCTATCTCTGCCTTAAAAGATTTGTCCCCCACGGCCCTCTGAGTTCCACAGATCCACCACCTTCTAGCTGAAGAAATTCCTCCTCATCTCAGTTCTAAAGTCCCTCAGTCCCTTTACTCTGAGGCTGTGCCCTTGGACCCAGCCATCAGCAGTGACTAATGCCCTTTAAGGGAAGGAATTCTGCCATCCTTACCTATGGGCAACCCAACACAATTGGCTCCTAACTACCCTCTGGGAAATTGGGGATGGGCAATAAAGGCCGGCCACATCCCGCGAATGAATGAGAGAAGAAAGTTTCTCCTGCTGAGAACACCTGCCAAATCTGACCGGCCCCCTACAACCCACCCAAGAGTGGTAAATGGTGCCAATGTAAGAGGAGATTGGAGATGCCAACATCTCTTCATGGGGCACCCCCATCTCGAAGTGCCCTCACGCTCCCTTCAGCAGCAGCGCCCACTTAGCCCCTCCCGACTGCGCACCACCCCCACCCCGGACAACCACCTCCGCACTGCCCCCGCCCGCCCCTCCTAATTAACAGGCTTCCCCGTCCAGGAAAGTCGCCATGGGTGGGCCAGATTTGGGCGCCATTGGCGGAGGCTGCCAACGGCCTCGGGATCTTCTGGTAAAGGTTTCACCCAGAGACGAACGAGCAGACGAGGCCGAATGAGGGGATTTGGGCTGGTTCAAAATCCCAGGGCCACCCGCCCGATTTCAAAAAACAACGGTCAGCCCCTCACCGTGCCGAGAGCGATCAATGAGCCTTGACGCAGGTTGAAGAGGAGGGCTGAGAGGGTAGCAGTACAACAGACTTTCTTCCATCTTTGATGAAGAAATTAAGGGGAGAATTAGGTACGTTACTCAGCACCTGAAACGGTGCATCGGTTTGGTCACGATAAGCCAACGTGAACAAACGCACGTTACCCTAAATGGCTGTTTCCAAAGTGAAAGCGGCCAAACAAAGATGGCCACCGCCGGAAACAGGATGGAAAAGTTGGCTCCTTCCGGAAATTTCCAGGACGGAAGTGAACCTCCCAGATGGGCACGTCGCTTGTCTCGCTCAAACACCCCACCAACGCACAGGGATGCCAACCCATGCCAGTCGTGAACAAACGCGCCCACCAAAACCCCTTCATGCTCGAGCTGGTGCTAACGGCTCCGCAGTTATCTGCTCCGAGCACCAATCGGGTACGGTCAGGGCATCACAGTCCAAATTGTTAGCTGAGCGGGAGCCCAGTCACGTGGCAGCAACTGAATTTTAATTACGTATGATTTTGTTGGGGGGGCGGGGGCAGGGTTCGGTGAATTCAGTCGTCAGTTTTCGATGTGGAGTGATACCAACAGCATGAGTTCGATTCCCAATGGCTCAGCTCACCACGAAGGACTCTCTTTCTCAACCTCTCCCCTCGTCTAAAGTTTCTTTCCCCACTCCCACAGAATCCCTACAGTGTGGGAACAGGCACTTCAGCCCACACCGACCCTCCGAAGAGCATCCCACCCAGACCCCGACCCCGACCCCATCCCCATCCCCCTACCCTTTCCCTGTAACTCTGCATTTCCCATGGCTAACACATCTAATCTATACATCCCTGGGCACTATGGGGCAATTTAGCATGGCCAATCCACCCTAAGCTGCACATCTTTGGACTGTGGGAGGAAACCTGAGCACTCGGAGGAAACCTACACGGACATGGGGAGAATGTGCAAACTCCACACAGACAATCGCCCGAGGGTGGAATCGAACCCGGGTCCCTGGTGCTGTGAGGCAGCAGTGCTAACCACTGAGCCCCTATGCCGCCCCTCTGTGGTGTCCCTCAGGTTAAACAACCCCCCCAGTCACCTCTCTCTAATGAGGGAGCAGCACTATGGTCTGGTAAGACTATGGAAACTTTACCTTTACAAATAGGTTTCGATCTCCTCCAAGGTGTGCTCACAACACGAGAAGAGGAAGCAGCTCCAGGCTTAGCTAACTGTCCTTTTATTTAATCTCAAGGTCTCACAAAAGTGTGAATTTCAGAAAGCATTCTGAATTTTACCAGTGAAATTAACCAGTTTCTGAGTTACTACTGCAATGAAATTCACCAATTTCTAACTTAGTGAAATTAACTGATTTCGGACTTTTAACTGCAGTGAAACTGATCAATGTCTAACTTACAGCAACTGCAGTTGCTACCCTCTGAATGGGATTGGATTCGGGGGCTTGAGTGGGGAAACACAGCGGGAGATGTTTTGGGGGGACCGAGTCCCGGCCAAACAGCTCGGGGCGCTCCGTACCTGTGACTGTTTCGAGGCGGCCGATGGGAGTATGGGGCGGCTAAATTTCCTCTTGGAGCCGACGGCGGCTGGGAAAGGTGGCGAGGAAAACATGGCAGCAACTAGATTGATCCGTGCGATCCAGGAGTTCATCTGGTCGGTGCTCCTAATGGAGAGAGGAACCATCGACCCTTTCGTTAAAACTGAAAACGGGCCCATTCTTCACCTGAGCAGACCGTAAGGAGCAGGAAGAGGTGGGAACAGGCCATTCGGCCCCTCTGCCGTTCATCCCACATTCCCGAACCTTTCCCCCGCGCAACTCCCCCGACTGATCGAGAACGCTCTGATCTCGGTCTTAAATAGACCACCAGGACTCTGCCCGCTCTCCTCCAACGCCGCGAGAGAGAGGTGCATTTCTGAAGCGCCTTTCTCTCTGCGCCGCCGGCAGCGCTGGAAAGGAGGAATTGCGAGCTCCCACCGGCGCCAGTGGGATGTTGAGGGGGCAGCTCGTCTGAAAAAAGTTGGGGGGGGTGGTGACCACCGACCGAACAACCCTCACCCCAACCCCCCTCACACACCCCAAACCCCCCC